TTAACAGACTGAATCGGGGAAACAGACAGATGAGAAAGGAGCCTTTGTGGAGGTCGGAGTAAGCCTCAAACATGGTTAAAGCCCTGCCCCTGCGAAGGGGTCCAGCTTTAATCGGATCAGACTGTAGAACACTCTGTGGGCCAGGGCATTGTTAAACACAATAGAGCAATCAGCTAGCAATTAGTGAAGGCTAACAGCTGGGACTGCTTCAAATAGAGGCAGATGGGTACGAAGCTTAAAGGAGAGATCAGGGAAAGAGACAAAGAGAGCCCAATTAAAACCACAGTAGCCCGGGTGGTCGGAGAAACTGTATGCATGCCCAAGGCAGCACTCTGTGAAGAGTGACATCAGAGGCTGCACACTGAAGGCGAATAGACTTCACTAAACTAGTCCAGACAAGTCACTCAACAAACAAACAAAAAAGCAAATAACAACAAGCCCCAGAGGGGCATGGGAATAACTACCTAGGGTTACTACAATGTAAGATTACACGACATGCGAAGAGGGCGGGGCAGGGGTAGGGGGTGGGGGGTGAGGGGGCAGAGTGGGGAAGCAGGCAACAAAAACTGCTTTTGAAGGGACTAGACGTTGACTTAGCAGACAAAGATTTCAAAGCAACTATTATAAATATGTTCAAAGAGACATATATAAAACACTCCACCCAATAAGAGTGAAATATATAGTCTTCTAAAGTGCACATGGAGCATTCTCCAGGATAAACCATATGCTAGGCCACAAAAAAAGCCTCAACAAATTTTAAAAGGATTTACCAAAAAAAGAAAAAAAGTTTTAAAGGAATTTAAATCAGGCAAAGCATGTATTCTCTGACCACAATCAAATTAAATTTTAAATCAATAAACGAAAGAAATATGGGGAATTCATAAATATGTGGAAATTAAACAACACACTACCAAATAACAGATAAGTTAATCACAAGGATATTTAGACAATACTATTGAAAACAAAAGCACAACATAGCAAAACTATTTTTTTTAAGTCAGTAGCAATTGTTTAATAACATAGCAAACTTAAGGGATGGAGCTAAAGCAGTACTTAAAGGAAGATTTGTATCTTTATTAAAAAATAAAAAGGATCTCAAATCAATGATATTACCTTCTAAGGAAACTAAAAAAAGAAGAGCAAACTAAACCTAAAACAAGCAGAAGGAAGGAAATGATAAAGATTATGAGGCAGGAAAATAGGGTCTGGAGGCAGGGAACATAAGGCCAATTCACACTTCAGCTATGACAGGAAATATCCTTTCCGTAGGGTTTATGCTGTAAATGACTCTGTAACTTTACTTCAAACTCTTCATTTACATAGGGTGTACTCCTAGTAACCAATGGAATCCTCTAGGGGGTATTGAAACTCCCAAAAATTCTATAACAGGGCCTTTCAGCCCCTATGCTCAGGCCACTCCCACACTCCCACACATGAAAGTGGAGTGTACTTTCATTTCAATAAAACCCTTCATTCCCTCCTTGCCTTGTTTGTGTGTTTTGTCCAATTCATTGTTCAAGACGCCAAGAACCTGGACACCCTCCACTGTTAATAATTAGTGCAGAAATAAATGAAATAGATAATAGACAACAATAGAGAAAAATCAATAAAACTAAAAGTTGGTTCTTCAAAAAGATCAATAACATTGACAAACCTTAGTGAGACTGAGAAACCAAGAAAAAACAGAGGAGACTCAAATTACTAATATCAGGAATGAAAGAGGGAATATTACTACCAAACTTTCAAGAGAAAAAAAAATTATAAAGGAGTACTACAAACAACTTTAGGTCAACAAATTAGATAAAGTAGATGAAATGAATTTCATGAAATGAATTTGTTTCAGGAAATGAAACAAATTCCAAGAAAGACACAACTACCAAAACACAAACTACTCAAGAAGAAACAAAACATTTGAATACAACTATAGCAAGGAAAAACATTGAAATTAGTAATTTTAAAACTTCCTACAAAGAAAAGCCCAGGCCCAGATGGCTTCAATGATGGATTCTATCAAACATTTGAAGAATTAAAATCAATCCTTCACAGACTCTTCTAAAACATAAAAGAGGAGACAATACTTTCTAATTCCTCTTATGAGGCCAAACTTATACCAAAACCAGACAAAGATATCACAAGAAAAGAAAACCATAGACCAATAGCTCCTTATGAATATAAATGCAAAAATCCTCAAAAAATACTACCAAATGGAAGCCAGCAACATAGAAGGTGGATTATACATCATGACTAAGTGGGATTTATCCCAGGAATGTCAGGTTGGTTCAACATCTCTGAAATCAATTAATATAATGTACCATATTAATAGAATAAAGGGAAAGAACACATCATTTTAATGTATTCAGAAAAAGCACTTGACAAAATCCAACACTCTTTCACAATAAAAACCCTCAATAAACTAAGCATAGAAAGAAACTTCCTCAATGTAATAAAAGGCCACTACAAACAAATACACAGCTAATATCATACTTGATGAAAGACTGAATGCTTTCCCCAGTATCATGAACAAGACAAAGATATCTACTCTCTTCACTTTTATTCAACAGTGTACTGGAGGTTCTAGACAAGGCAATTAAGCAAAAAGAAAAAAAAGGAAAAGAAAAGGCAGACAGATTGGAAAGGAAGAAGTAAAATTATTCACAGATAACATAATCTTGTATGTGGAAAATCTCAAAAAATCCACTAAAAACCATTAGAACTAATACATTTATCAAAGTTCACAACACAATGTCAGTATATAAAAGTCAGTTGTATTTCTATACACTAGCAATGAACAATCCAAAATGTAATTAAGAAAACAATTCTATTTACAATAGCATCAAAAACACCTAGGAATAAATTTAACAAAACAAGAGCAAGACGTGTATATGTGTATACATTGTTGAAATTAAAGATCTAAATAAATGGAAAGACATCTCAAAACAGCCATAATACCCAAATTGACCTATGGATTCAAGGCAACCCTACCAATATCCCAGCTGCTTTTTGGTAGATATTGACAAACTAATCCTAAAATTCATATGGAAATTCAAGGGACCCAGAATAGCCAAAACAATCTGGAAAAAGAAGAACAAAGTTGGAGAACTCACACTTTCCAATTTTAAAACTTCGCACAAAGCTACAGTAATCAAAATTGTACAGTATTGACATAAGGATAAACATAGAATTGTGAACTATAATTAAGAGTCTAGAAATAAATCCTTTTATTATGGTTAACTGATTTTTTGATAAGGGTGTCAAGAAAAATTAATAAGGAAAGTATAGTATTTTTAAGAAATGGTGTTGGTGGCCGGGCACAGTGGCTCACGCCTGTAATCCCAGCAGTTTGGGAGGCCAAGGTGGGCAGATCACCTAAGGTCAGGAGTTCGAGACCAGCCTGGCCAACATGGTGAAACCCCATCTCTACTAAAAATACAAAAATTAGCCGGGTGTGGTAATGCATGCCTGTAATCCAAGCTACTACTTGGGGGGCAAAGGTTGCAGTGAGCCGAGATCGCACCACTGCACTCCAGCTTGGGTGACAGAGCGAGACTTTGTCTCAAAAAAAAAAGAAAAAAAAAAAGAAATGGTGCTGGGATAACTAAATATCCACATAAAACAGAAAGAATTTGGAATCTCAACTCCCACCACACACAAAAATTAACTCAAAATGGATCAGACACCTAAATTTAAGAGCTAAATGTATAAAATTCTTAGAAGAAAACAAAGTAATAGATCTTTATGACTTTGGGTTAGGCAGTAGCTTTGATACAACATCAAAAACACGAGCAACCAAAGAGAAAAAATACATCATTTTGACTGGGCATCATCAAAATTAAAAACTGCTGTACTGCAAAGGACACCATCAAGAAAGGGGAACAGACAACCCACAGAATGGGAGAGGGTATTTGCAAATAATATCCCTGATAAAGGATTGGTATGTAGAATATATTTGAAAAACCTCTTACAATGCAATAATAAAAAGATAAATAACTCAATTTTTAAGATAGGCAAAGGATCTGAATAGACACTTCTCCAAAGAAGATCTACAAATATCCAATAAACACATGAAAAGATGCTTGACATCATTAGTCATTAGGGAAATGCAAATCAAAACCGTAATGAGATTCCATCTCATGCCCTCTGGGATGGCTATAATCAAAATGATAGACAATAACAAGTGTTAGAGAGGATGTGGAGAAACTGGAACCTTCATCCATTGCTAGTGGAAATGTAAAATGGTGCAGCCACTTGGGAAAACAGTTTGGGACTTTCTTAAAATGTTAAACTTGATTAAGAGTTAGCTTATGACTCAGCAGTTCCACTCCTAGGTATACACTTAGGAGAAATAAAAACATACATGCACAGAATAACTTGTATGTGATGGTTCACAGAAGGATTATTCATAATAGCCAAAAAGTGGAAACCACCCAAATGTCCATCAACTTATGAATGAATAAATACAATGTGTATATCCATATAACGGATTATTCAGCAACAAATAGATGTTGAGTACTGATACATGCTACAACATGGATGAGCCTCCAGAACATTGTGCTGAGTGAAAGAAGCCAGACACAAAAGATCACTTATGTGTCCATTTCTACATGTTCAGAATAGGCAAATCTGTAAAGACAGATAGCTGACTGAGGGTTGCCTAAGGCTGTTAGGTGGCACAGGGTGGCTACAGAAGGGAGTGGGGAGTGATGCCAATAGGTATGTAGTTTCTTTCTCAGATGATGAAAACGTTCTAAAATTAGATTGTGACGCTAGTTGTACAACACTGTGAATATACGAAAAACCATTGAATTATACAATTTAAATGGGTGAGTTACATGGTATGTGAATTATATCTCAATAAAGCTGTTTAAAATATAGTGATGAATTCCAAGAGAATCATGTGGTCTGCTTGTGAAGGTAAAGTCACTCTTTATCTATATATTGTAAGGGGCAGCATGCACGCTGGTGTCATTGTTGCCACTGCAGTGAACACCCTGATTACCTACCTGTTCCCATTCATGCTTTGGTAAGTGTTCAATAGGAGATCCATTTGTTTTGATTCTTCCATGTGCATTAAAAGTCACACCTACTTTATTGTGCTTCGAGTCAGTGTCATTGTCTCTGTTTGTTTCCGTTGGTGGTATCAGCACAGATTTCATCTATAAAACAAATCCATGCTTTAGTCCATCCCTCTGCTTATTCTGTTGCATACAGAGACTTCAGTCCCAGTTGGGATTCTTTCTATATCGTGGTGCCACAACCCAGTGAAAAACACACGGTCACTTTTTGCATCTCACCCACCTCCTACATCTCACTTATCCACTGATGTCTGTAAAGTGGGTCTGTTACAATCTGTTGGTACATTTTTCAATTACAGACATTGCCCTATAAAGAAAGAGTTTCTGTGTTTCATTGGAGTTTCTCTGTAGGTGTTAAACACATTCTGTGGCATCCACACAGAAAATGGACGATGCTAAGGTAGGGGCAACTAGTCTCCTATTGAGCCTTTATCTAGCCATAGGATTTTCAGGAGTTCAGAAACACCTCTTAAGAGGGTGGCTGCTGTGCATTTTGTTATGCTTTCCAGAAGAAATGAGAAAAGATACATGTGTCCAAGAAAGTTCTTAAAGGAGACATAGGTTGAAAACTTCAGAAGCCCTTCAACCTAAATGTATTGTGGTTCTCAGCCTGACTCTGCCAGCCATTGACGATGTTCTCCAATCCTGGCAACAAAACTGCTGTGTTTCTTTGGAAAACAAAATGTCTTTCTGATAGGGCATCAATTACTAGAATCCCTCTTGTTCCCTTACACAAGCAGAGACTGTGATTTTATACTTGTTTCTTTGTAGCACCATCTCTTTAAACAAAACAATGTTAAACAATACTTCTGTTATACTAGTGGCCATAGTTCAGTGATAGACAAGTTCTCTGTGGTAGGTACTTAGTTTCTTTTACAAACTAGAGTGTGTAGGAAATCTTACCTTTATTTTTCAAAAATGAAATTGAATCTTATTCTGAGGTCCTGTCTCATTGAGCTAGGTAGAAATCCAAGCTCAGCTATTGCTAGCTAGTTCACAGCCTACCTGCCCTGTCTCCTGCCAGCAAATGTCCCCATTACGGGCAGAGCAGAATATTCTGGGAGGACCCTCTGGACTTGGGTCCACACAACTCACTTCTTGTTTTTTTTTTTTTTTTTTTTGGTAGAGATGGGGTCTTGCTATGTTACCCAGGCTGGTCTGGTCTTGAACTTCTGGTCTCAAGTGATCCTCTCACTTCGGCCTCACAATGTGCTAGGACTATAGGCATGAGCCACCTTCATTCTTTAGTCCCTCTGCGTTGACCCCCTCAACCTGCCCACCTTACAAAATACCTTAAATGAACCTAGAATAGAGGTTGTCATCAAATTCCCCCAACCCTTCCCCTCCCCTGTTAACAATGATACCATGGTGACCACCGGTGTAAATCAGGAAGTACGGTCCCTCCTGCCACAGAGGGTTGGAGGGTCCTATGGGATGGGAAAGTGGGGGTTATAAAATTGGACTGGAAAAATCTACTTTTATGTATCATCTGATAGAGTTCCAAATGGTTGAACCTATCATTTTCACTATAGTTCAACGATATTTAATACAACAAGTGTGTGTTACCAGTTCAACCTCACCCAAGGAAAGGTAGAAGACACAAACAATATACAAGTTGAATTTCTATCTTTAAAGCCAGTCTTATGAGCAGGTAGAACAGTGATCCCTGAAGGAGGTGAAACTTTAGGTATCTTGAGAAAATTGCTGGCCCACAAACTCCTCCCCAGGATCTGTATTGGTGACTGAAACACAAACCTCAGAATCAAATATCAGGAAAAAAGAAGAGAGAACTGGAGGAGAGAGCTGTATGCTTAGTAGTATATGCCATTTTCTTCCCTTCCCTTCCCTTTTCTTTTTTTTTTTCTTTCTTTCTTTTTTTCTGAAATAGTGTTTTACTGTCGCCCAGGCTGGAGTGCAGTGGCTTGATCTTGGTTCACTGCAGCGTCAGCCTCCTGGGTTCAAGTGATCCTCCCGCCTCAGCCTCCCAAGTAGCTGGGATTACAAGTGTGTACCACCATGCCCAGCTATTTTTTTGTATTTTAGTAAAGACAGGGTTTCACCTTTCTGACCAGGCGGGTCTTTTTTTTTTTTTTTTTGAGATGGAGTCTCGCTCTGTCGCCCAGGCTGGAGTGCAGTGGCCGGATCTCAGCTCACTGCAAGCTCCGCCTCCCGGGTTTACGCCATTCTCCTGCCTCAGCCTCTGGAGTAGCTGGGACTACAGGTGCCCGCCACCTCGCCCGGCTAGTTTTTTTGTATTTTGTAGTAGAGACGGGGTTTCACTGTGTTAGCCAGGATGGTCTCGATCTCCTGACCACGTGATCTGCCCGTTTCAGCCTCCCAAAGTGCTGGGATTACAGGCTTGAGCCACTGCGCCCAGCTACCAGGCGGGTCTTGAATTCCTACCCTCAAATGATCCGCGTGCCTCAGCCTCCCAAAGTGCTAGGATTACAGGTGTGAGCCACCAAACCTGGCCACCATTTTCTTCATATAGGTAATTACATTTAATCATCCCAACAATCCAATATGGTAGGTATTTTTATCTTCAGTTTATAAGTGTGGAAACCAAGGATTAAAAACTTCAGTATGTTGCCCAGTCACCCAGGAAGTGGCAGAGGCAGGATGTTAACCTAGTTCTGTCTGTCTAATGTTACAGCCTCACAGTCTTTACTATGTTAAGGTGGCTCTCAACTTGGGATCTCCACAGAGCTAGTGAGGGACATCCCAGAGGCATCTTCTCAATATCTCAAAAAGCCCTTGATAGACCTGGCTGCTCAGGCTAACTTCAGGAAAGCGAAAGTTTTCCATCTGATCAATTGGAAGAGGCTGCCATGACTGATTAGCACTGTAGTCATAGGGCAGGTGGCGATAGAGTGTGGCATTCATGCCCTGTGTTTGCCAATATTTGACTGACAAAGACATCATGTTCCCTTGTGCTCTTGGCTAGAATCTAATCCACTCATGTTAATACTGACTATTATATCTTGATCAAAATGTCTTATTGGCTTGACTACTCACTGATATAATGGGAAAGGTACCTTAAACTTAGAGTGGGCTTAAATTTTATTGCAACTGGGTTTTTTTGCATTTTTTTGTTTGTTTGTTTGTTTGTTTTGAGACAAGGTCTCTCTGTCATGCAGGCTGGAGTGCAGTGGTGCAATCATAGCTCACTGCAATCTCAAACTGCTGGGTTCAAGCAGTCCCCATGCTTCAGCCTCCCAAGTAGCTGGGACCACAGGTGTGCACCACCACTCCTGGCTAATTTTTTTCTTTTTTGTAGAGCTGAGGTCTTGCTATGTTGACCAGACTGGTCTCAAACTCCTGGTCTCAAGCGATCTGCCCACCTCAACCTCCCAAAGTGCTGGAATTACAGGGGTGAGCTAGCATGCCTGGCTGCAACTGGGATTTTTCTTTTTTTAAGAGTAAAAGGAGGTACTATTAATAATTACAACAGGACAACAGATATAAGCCAGGACGCACCATCATCAGTTGGTGAGGTGGGAAAGGGTGGTATGTAAAATCACCACAGAATCAGGAGAGGGCTGTAAAAAACTTTCTATTCAGTTTTTTTTTTTTTTTGAGACGGAGTCTCGCCTTGTCGCCCAGGCTGGAGTGCAGTGGCGCGATCTCAGCTCACTGCAAGCTCCACCTCCTGGGTTCACGCCATTCTCCTGCCTCAGCCTCCCGAGTAGCTGGGACTACAGGTGCCCACCACCACGCCCGGCTAATTTTTTGTATTTTTAGTAGAGACAGGGTTTCACCATGTTAGCCAGGATGGTCTCAATCTCCTGACCTCATGATCCGCCTGCCTCGGCCTCCCAAAGTGCTGGGATTACAGGTGTGAGCCACCGTGCCCGGCCTCAGTTTTGTTTTAGGTTTGCCCTGCTTTGATCTTAAATCTCTCAGGAGATAGTTAATGAATATTAAATACTTACTACATCCCAGGTGCTGGGGTTTTATCAATGGACTAGAAAAACAGAGGAAGATAATAAACAAACAGTACCACAATTTCTTACTTAAATTTGGTAACTGTGATGAAAGATATGTACAAGGGGCTTGACAGTATATAAAAGGGGATCTCATCTGGTCTGGAGGTCAGACTTAATAAACTTTAATTAAAAAGACGGGAGGATGCTAGCAACAACGTTCTCATTCACATGTGTATAAAGGTAAAAAGGATCCAAAAAGTCAAGGTGCCGCTGGGGTCACATTTCTGTCTCTATCAGATTAAATTCCAGCTCTAGATGCCCCCCGCTCAGGTTGGTTGGAAGTTGATGATCAGTCCTGAGGGGTAACAGTTCAGGTTTCCCACTAGGACCATAGAGCATCATCTGGCTCCACTGCTATTACTGGTCCTCAACCCATGTGGCGCCCCCTACACCTCTAGCCTAAGGGCTTCCTCTTGGCCCAGGCAGAGGAGGAAGACAACTCCAGTGACCCTGTAAGACCCGTCCAAGGAACCCTTCACGAGGCGTGAGATCTTCACAGGCACCACATTGCCACTTGTCTCAGAGGTTCCATACTAGTTCCCGCTCTGCTTGTATTTAGCATGATTATTTAAACATTTCAAAAAATATTTCCAAAAAAATTATCCTAAGTTATTTGATGTGTATTATGTGGGAAATCATATCAATTCAGAAATAAATTGCACTTATATAAGTGATTTCACTTATATAAGTACCTAGAGTAGTGAAATTCATAGACAGAAGGTAGAATGGTGGTTGCCAGGGGCTGGGAGAGGGGAGACTGGGTAGTTAGTGTTTAACGGGTCCAGAGTTTCAGTCTGGGATGATGGAAAATTCTGTAAATAGATGGTAGTGATGGTGATGGTTGCATAACAATGTGAATATACTTAATACCTCTGAACTATACACTTAAAAATGGTTACAGTGGCAAGTTTTATGTTATGTATTTTTTACCACAATATAAATGAATGAATTAATTGAGATTTTAATTTTAAAAATCAGGATTTTTCACTTTTAGAAACGACATGAAATGCCAACATTTCCTCATTTTTCCACCCTCAACATGAATTTAAATTTTTTTTCCATATATAGAAGTTACCCACTTAGTTCTTTATCATGCAGTCATAGATTTTTCTTAAAATGTATACTTTTATATACTCTAATAAAATCTATAATCTTTTTAGAGTTATAACCACTAAAACACAAATCAATTCAAAATAATAAATGAAGAGGTACGTATTCCCTTCTAAATGCCTGAGAGAAGATTCATGCCGACATTACTTCTTACTTTGTTCCTCTCTACACGGTGGAGTAAATTCAAGTCTGTGGTCTCTGATATCCCACCATGGATGACCAGGATTTCATTGTCAACGATTGTACCGATTGGGAGCCAGGCATAGAGTTCTTCCAAGATTTGTAAGATTCTTTTTCCATGTAGCTGTAAGTAAGAGCTTGAGTAAGTTTTGTTTTTCTGATAGGTTCAGTTTATTGAATAGTCCCCATGTATGGACAAAAAGTAATGGTTTTCAGGCCACTCAAAGGAAGTCAGCAAGGAGTCACTAACCAGTTAGCATGTATTTATCATGTCTTTTTATTCTGTGTGTGTGTGTTTTTTTTTTTTTTTGAGATGGAGTCTCGCTCTGTTGCACATTGGAGTGCAGTGGCGCCACCTTGGCTCACTGCAACTTCTGCCTCCCAGGTTCAAGCGAGTCTCCTGCCTCAGCCTCCCAAGTAGCTGGGACTAAAGGCGTGTGCCACTACGCCCAGCTAATGTTTGTATTTTCAGTAGAGACGGGGTTTCTCCATGTTGGCCAGGCTGGTCTCGAACTCCTGACCTCAGGTGATCTGCCCACCTCAGCCTCCCAAAGTGCTGGGATTACAGGTGTGAGCCACTGTGCCCGGCCCTTTATTCTGTATTTTTGATACTATGACATCTTGGGGCCTTGCTGACTCTGAAGGAGAGACTGTCCCTCCCAGGGCTAGCTAATTCCTAGATAGTCAATGACTCGCCCTTCATAAGCAAACCAAGCAATGGAGAGCCCACACCCCAGCTACCTTCTTTATGGAGCTCTCACACTCCTCCTCCTGGGGCCAGGTACCAGACAACTAGGGACAACCTCTGTGGCCCAGAGCAGGCTGAAATTACTCAAACTGGTCAGTCCTAAACCAGATTACACTCAGATGCTTCCCTCCGCCCTCTGTCCTACAAAAACCACAATCAAGGCTCTCAACCGTGTTTTCCCCTCGCTCCCTCTGCCTTCTTTTTTTTTTTTTTTTTTTGAGACGGAGTCGCACTCTGTTGCCCAGGCTGGAGTGCAGTGGTGCGAGCTCGGCTCACTGCAACCTATGCCTCCCGGGTTCAAGCTATTCTCCTACCTCAGTCTCCCGAGTAGCTGGGATTACAGGAGCGTGCCACCATGCCCAGCTAATTTCTATATTTTTGGTAGAGAGAGGGTTTCACCACGTTGGTCAGGCTGGTCTTGATCTCCTGATCTTGTGATCTGCCTGCCTCAGCCTCCCAAAGTGCTGGGATTACAGGTGTGAGCCACCACACCCAGCCTCCCTCTGCCTTCTGACCAACTCTGGTGCTCCCCCACGCGGTCCCCCAGGGTGGCGTGTAGTGCCTCCCTTTTCCAGAGAACTGTAAATAAAAATCTCTTCCTTCATGACAGTCATTTCTATGTCTGCATGTTTTACCACACCTAAGTAAAACAAATCCTTGGTACCTTTAAAGCGATGAAATATGTATCTATGCTAAAACTTACACAAAACTCACAATGAAAAAGTGTGGCTTAATCCAGAAAGAAAATATAAGACTTTACTGTGGCCAGGGCTTCCTGCTGTGCTTGTATTTTATTGGTATGCATTCTGACTAGCTGGCCTATCACCTTTCCTAAAGCATCAATCTGGTCTTTCTTGGCTCTTTTTAAATTTCTCCATAGAAACAGCAAAATGAATACTAAAAAAAAAAAGAAAAAGAAAAAGAAAAAAAAAGGATGTCTTACCTTATATTTATGCAAAATTTCTTTCGTGAAGCCATACCTAAAAAAAATGGGATTTAAATGATTTGATTGTTGATAACGCCTGCTTCCATGAGTCATGCAAAAAGGGGAGTCCTTGGCATCTCAGTATCACAAGCACCAAGAACTCAAGAAACCAGAGATCAGTTGGAAGCGTTACTTACCTGAGTCTTTGCTACACATGACTGGAAAGCATAAAAGCAACCAATGACATCATCCCTACCCTCAAGGAGCTTATAGTATAGCTGGGTAAAGAAGATAGATTTCTGTGAAACAATTATAAGACAACTTAAGAAATATATGGTAGGCACAGGCTGTGTAAATGTTACAAGTATGCAGAGAAGCATGCTGTGGTAGCTGGGGGAAGCTGTGTGGGAGAAGACTTTTCATTTAGATAGAATTTCTCAGACATCCTATACAGTAAATGATTGGAAAAAAGAAAAGACTGAACAAAGATAAAGGCCTAGAAGGTAACAAGTTGGCTTGTTATGCTCTCTCTGTTATAGATCCCATAATGGTATTGAGGATTTTAATAGAAAGTATCAGGAATCTTAATGTCTGAATAGTAGTAGTGAAGGGAGATTCAATGATGACAATATTTCGGTTACTTTTCCTTGCTTTGGGATAACAGTACATGCACTTAATATCCAACACTGTGAAGATGAAATGCAATACACTCACTCTAGCTTTCCATGGAAATCATGTCACATCAGGCTTCTACAGTGTAACGTTATGTTTTCTCAGATGAATTCCATTCGGTACTCACCAAAGGTGTCCACACTGTTTAATCCAATGGATACCTTGCAGTCCTCACCTTTCTCGCCCTCTCTGAAACACTAAATACAGCTGACTCTACCATCCTTCTAGAAAACTTTTCTTCCCTTGGATTCTGTGACCATAAACTCTTTGGTTTTCCTCCTGGCTCTTCTGAGCCTCTTTTGCAAGCTCTCCTCTACTTCACCTTAAATGTGGCGGTTCCTTCAGATTCCATCCTAGGCTCTCTTCTCCCCTCACTTTCTCCTTTGGGAATCTCATCCCTGCCCAGGCTTTCAGTTATTATCTAGTGTCAATACCACAGGATGATGTTCCAGGCCACACTTCATTTCTGATCTCTGGACACATATGTACACTCAACTGCCTACTCAATAGTACTTCAAATCAGCTTACCCCAAACTGAATTCATCATTCCCCCTCATCCCAACCTCTATCCTCTTTCCACACATTCCCAATATCACTGAATGATGCACTGTACCCCCAAACTCAAGCTGGGAACCTGGAGGCCACCCTTGATTCCCTCCTCTCTCTTTTTTTTTTTTTTTTTTTTTGAGATGGAGTCTCACTCTGTAGCCCAGGCTGGAGTGCAGTGGTACGGTCTCGGCTCACTGCAAGCTCCGCCTCCCAGGTTCACACCATTCTCCTGCCTCAGCCTCCCAAGAAGCTGGGACTACAGGCGCCTGCCACCACACCTGGCTAATTTTTTTGTACTTTTTAGTAGAGACAGGGTTTCACCGTGTTAGCCAGGATGGTCTTGATCTCCTGACCTTGCGATCCGCCCACCTCGGCCTCCCAAAGTGCTGGGATTACAGGCATGAGCTACCATGCACAGTCGATTCCCTCCTCTTTCAGCTCCCCCATATCCAGTTACTGAGCCTTAAATCATCATTGCCTAAATTCCTCTTGAATCTATTTCTTTGCATCTCCATCACCACTACCCTAGTCTAAATGAGAACCCATTATCTATCCCTTTAACCTTCAACTACTTCCTAATTGACCTGCGTGTATTCACTCTTGCCCCTCTCCAACTCTCTCCCCCTAGTGCATTTTAAAACACAAATTTTATGACATTCTTCGGTGACATTCTCTTGTTCTAGGAAGTCCTTCCAAATTCCTTTGAACCATCCAATCATTTCTTATGTCTCCAGCCCTATCAGGCACCACCCTGTCCCTCAGTCTATGCTCCTGCCCTCCTGAACTTCTTTCACAACTAAACAGTCTTGTCCTGAGCTCTGCATAAGTTGTCCCCTCACTGTGGAACACTGTTTCCCATCCCCCTCTATGGCTCTTTCTTGATTGCCTAATTCATTCTTCAGCTGTCAGGCTAATGCCATATTTCTATGGGGGAACCTTCCATCATCCCTCAGACAAGGTTGGATTCTCCCTTTACAAACTCATCACACTTGAAAAACCTGCTCAACATGCGTCTTCCCTGCTAGATGTAAGCTCTATGAGGGCAGGGGCCATGTCTCCTTCATTAACCATCATAGACACTAGATAAATATGATAGGCAATAAGGATAAACAGCATGCCTCAATTAAAGTATTGAGCTATATTTTATATAATGGGCCTCTGATAATAGTCCTGGGATTTTTTTCCTTCATGGTTTTAGCATTTGCTTCCATACCTTGAGAATTAGAATTGAAACTCTGTACTCAAGCCAGGTGCCAAACTGCCCCAAAGACAAAACTAATCAGTTGTTGAGCTTTATCAAGGCACCCAAAAGCCCAGGACCAAAAGCATGAGACATGCCATATCTTCCACTGTCCCAGAGCAAACTGATTTCTGTTTTTCATAAAACAAGAGATTTTTTTTTTTTTTTTTTTTTTGAGACGGAGTCTCGCTCTGTCGCCCAGGCTGGAGTGCAGTGGCGCGATCTCGGCTCACTGCAAGCTCCGCCTCCCGGGTTCACGCCATTCTCCTGCCTCAGCCTCCCGAGTAGCTGGGACTACAGGCGCCCACAACCGCGCCCGGCTAATTTTTTGTATTTTTAGTAGAGACGGGGTTTCACCGTGGTCTCGATCTCCTGACCTTGTGATCCGCCCGCCTCGGCCTCCCAAAGTGCTGGGATTACAGGCGTGAGCCACCGCGCCTGGCCGAGATTTTTTTTAAAGAAGGAAAAAAGAAGGGAAAAGGGAACATTTGTCACCTACTGTGCCTTCCAGCAAAGATTCTTAAACCATCTAACCAATCTTTATTCCTCAAGTTTCCGGTGAGTTAGATAGTTGAAATGCTGTGTTTGTAAATATGTTTATGTGAAACAATGCCAGAAGCAATTACCGTGTCATAAAACAATACACGCATTGGTGAAAAACATGGAACTAGTTTCTGAGACAATATCTGAGGCAAGCCAAGAGTAGTAACAGAACGATTCCATCCAAGTATGCTCGAAGAACCTTCCACACCTCCAAACCCGGCCTCACACACCTATCCAACACACAATTTAGCCTGTGAAGGTCGGGCATGGGAGCAAGAGAAAGAACATAATAGAAGGGAAAAGAATGGACAGAACTGGAAGAAAAGATAGGAAGGGAGTTTCAGGGCAACTGATACTCAGCAGACGAATGGGGGTGGTGAAAGGGGTAAGAACTGAAGTCCTCCTTGAGATCCCCCTCATCCCTCTTCCAATACACTCACTTGTATCTCTGTTAGGAACTAAATATGACAGCATTTTCCAGAGTGTGAAACTTTTAAAAGAGAAAATCTAAAGGCCTGGGTTACCTCAGATTCATCATAAAATCTTCGTGGTTCCCTCTGTTCAAGTGCAGGTCATTGGGGTAGACAAGAAAACTCACACACAGGATTATTAGGATCTCTATGGAGTTCTTTCCTCGATCTACAAAGTCACCATTAAAAACGTATGGGTTGCTCTCTGAGGGGAGACCATTCTGTGGAAGGAGGAGAAGGGAAAAAACAAGGAATTAAAAGAATATACTTTTAAAGTAAGGCTGTGTACGTAACATCCCTGTTAATATGCAGAAAAGAGGCTGAGTCAGATTCTTCCACCAGGAAACATCTCCTCTCTTGCTTGAGCCAGTTTTACTCTTCCAGGACAAGCATCTCCTGCAAAGGCCCTGAAAGTGACAAATCTGCTCAAGAATGCAAGATTCCAGGGAGGATGGGGTGGTGCTAATTCTACCCACCACCTACTATGAGTTTCCTCTGAAAGGAGCAGGTATTTGTCCTATCAAATATGGCTATTCTCACCTCTTCCTTCTCCTCTGAAAAGAGGGAAACTTCTATCCAAGGAAGAACACCAAACTAAGAGCCAGAAATCTTTTATTCTAAGGGGCCCTATGGTCAGCTCCTTGGGGCTGTGATTCCCCCAATCTGCAAAATGGGGATGGCACTACATCCCTCCCCAGATCACCTGGGAGAATGGAGATGAAAGCACTCAGGCAAGTGAAGGGTGCGGTGTGATGTGGCTGAGCAGGTCAGAGGTACTGCCAGCCAGCAACTACAGCAGGTCTGCAGAGCCCGTGTACATTCTCAGTGACCACTGACCGGGCCATATCAGTTTTTAAGTATTTTTAATATCACTCTTGAGTATGAGATAATACTTTTAAATATAGCGTTAGCATGAAAAGCAGCAGAGATCAGAACAAAGGTCTGGTCTTTAAAATAGCTACTAATTCATTTAGTCTTATACTATAAAACTCTAAAACAAAACAAACATATGTAACCTGGTTACATTTTCTCGATGTCATGTTTGATAAGGAGAGGGCCATTTCCCTACTACATGGCTTCTACTGCATAATAGACAAATTCAAATGTTTTAAAAATATATTACAAAGAGACAAATTTAACTACTCATATATAAAAATGCATGTCCTCCTTCAAAAAGGTTACTTTCGCCAGGCACTTTTAATCCCAGCACTTTGGGAGGCTGAGGCGGGCAGATCACTTGAGGTCAGGAGTTTGAAACTAGCCTGGCCAATGTGACAAAACCCCATCTCTACTAAAAATACAAAAATTAGCCAGGCATGGTGGTGTGAGCCTATAATCCCAGCTACTCAGGTGGCTGAGGCAGAAGAATCGCTTGAACCTGGGAGGCAGAGGTTGCAATGAACCAAGATTACACCACTGTACTCCAGCCTGGGCAACAGAGAAAGACTATGTTTAAAAAAAAAAAAAAAAAAGAAACAAAAAAAACAAAAGAAGAGAGAAACAAAATGGCTACCTTCAGGAAAGAATACACATATTCTAGTAATAGTAATCTTTTTCAAATGATTTTCAAATTTCTGTTTCATTAGATTTCCAACTACATTTAAAAATCTTATTACTTTATACTCAATATCCTATTATGTATACACATTTTTAAATTGCTCATATCAGCATAATAGAAATAATTGAAAAAATATAATACAGGTTATAGCATATAATTTAGGGATTCTAGAAATCAGTTATACAATGTAACATGTTCTGAAGGCAATTGCAAACAAATAAACAAACAAGCAGTGGCATAGTGTGATAAGAAGGTGAATTCTCTGGTCCAGGTCCATTCATTACCCATGTGTCCTTGGGCAAGTGATGTAACCTTTATGAGCTGTAGTTTTCTTATCTGTCAAGTGTGGATGATAACTTCCATACTTACCACACAGGGCTATTTTGGAACTCAAATGAAAACATGTGTATAAAATTGCATTAAAATGGTAAAGCAACATACAAATTAAGAGACTTATTTTATTATGACCAAGTTATTTCTAATTCTAAGATTCCAATATTTTCTTTCTTTCTTTTTTTTTTTTTTTTGAGACAGAGTTTCACTCTTGTTGCCCAGGTTGGAGTACAATGGCGTGATCTTGGCTCACCGCAACCTCCACCTCCCAGGTTAAAGTGATTCTCGATTCTCCTGCCTCAGCCTCCCGAGTAGCTGGGATTACAGGCACCTGCCACCACGCCTGGCTAATTTTGTATTTTAAGTAGAGATGGGGTTTCACCACATTGGTCACACTGGTCTCGAACTCCCGACCTCAGGTCATCCACCTGCCTCAGCCTCCCAAAGTGTTGGGATTACAGGCGTAAGTCACTGCACACAGCGCCAATATTTTCTTATGTATTAATTCATATAACCTTATTCACACTGGGCTTAGTGTAAACCAGTTGCAAAAATATAGGCTATTGTTCAGCAAAATGTAAAGAAGGCTGGGCATGATGGCTCACACCAGTAATCCTAACACTTTGGGAAGCCGAGGTGGGTGGATTGCTTGAGCCCAGGAGTTCAAGATCAGATTGGGAAACATGGCGAAACCCCTTCTCTACAAAAAGTACAAAAAAATTAGCCAGGTGTGATGGTGTACACCTGTAGTCCCAGCTGCTCAGGAGGCTGAAGTGGGAGGATCGCCTGAGGCCAGGTAGGTCGAGGCTGCAGTGGAGCTGAGATCACACCGCTATATTCCAGCCTGGGTGACACAGTGAGACCCTGTCTAAAACAAACAAACCAACCAACCAACCAACCAACCAACCACAAAGAAAGGGGGAAGGATTCTGCATCTCTGATCTCTGTTACTCTTCCTTCCCCCAGCCTTCAGCTGTCTAGGGTGAGTAAGCTGGAGGAACCTGAGGACTGTTGAAGGACTCTGTTGGCCCAGGTCTGAAGGGGGCTAGAGGAGCAGCGGCAGGGAGCCCTGGGGTGAAAACATGGAAGAACTAGGCCTGAGGGGACTGTGGACACTTGATTAACGGGGTGGCTCTGCCTCAGAGCGTGTGTGTGGTCTTGGTTTGGAGGCAGGGGAAGCTGAAATGTTGGATCCTACTAGAAAAAGTATAGGAAGACGTCTTTCACATCCCTGAAACGAAAAGAACAGATCGCTTGCATTTAGGGGTACCTAGAAACACAGACTTCTTTTCACACTCGATGCGGTGTAGAAACTGTTGTGCCTCCAACTATGGGAAGGCTTAATCTAGCTTAAGCAGAAAATAGAAAATGGAAATAAGCTAGTACCTAAGAGGATCCGGCAACTAGAGAGAGACAGACCAATCAGATCTACTAAAGCAGATGGTTGCTAATAAGACAGGACTACTGGAGGAAACAGAAAACTAGTTTATTTTTAAAGTAATAAGAAGAACATACAAGAAAGAACAAAAACTTATTAGTTCTTGGCACTAAGAATATACTATACAAACTTAAAATATCAGTGGGTTGGCCGGGTGCAGCGGCTTATGCCTGTAATCCCAACACTTCGGGAGGCTGAGGTGGGCAGATCACCTGAGGTCAGGAGTTCAAGACCAGGCTGGCCAACATGGTGAAACCCCATCTCTCCTGAAAATATTAAAAAATGGCCAGGCGTGGTGGCACACACCTGTAATCCCAGCTACTCAGGAGGGTGAGGCTGAGGCAGGAGAATCACTTGAACCTGGGAGGTAAAGGTTGCAGTGAGCTGAGATTGAGCCAGTACACTCCAGCCTGGGCAACACAGTGAGACTCTATCTCAAAAAAAAAAAAAAAAAAAAAAAAATCAATGGGTTAAAGGTAACTAAAAGAAAGAATGGTGGGGAAAATACATTATTGACCTGAAAGAGCAAGCAGATGAAAAATCTCTCACACAGAGTAAAATCAAAATGATGAAAATCAGGAAGAATAAATAAGAGACTAGCATTCAAAGCCAAGAGACTTAATATGCCAATAATAAGCATTCCAAAATCAGGAAAAAGGAACAGATGAAGAGGCAATAATTACAAAAATAAGAGAGAACATTTTCTATGGTTAAAAAAAAGACTTCAATTTGAAGCTTGAAACATGACTTCTACACACAATTGATGGGGCAAAATCCCTACTACCTGGTAAAAAGATTAGAAGAGGCCACGGAGAAAGAACGAGTTACAAAAGGAAAAGAAATCAGCATAGCATCAGACTTCTCGTCTATAGTAGTGGGAGGTAGGAGATGGTAGAATAAAATCTACAAATTAAAGAGGAAAAAGGACTTTGAATCAAGATTTCTACAGTGGCCAAGACATTAAGTTCTCAGGGTGATAGAAAAATACTTGCAGATGTGTAAGAGATCAACCATCACCAACAACATAAATGCTCAGGGTGAAAGACAGACATGCAAATATGTAGTATTTAATATCACAAAACAGCTAACATATATCGATTGCTTGTTATGTACCAGGCACAGTTTTAGGTGCTAGGAACACAGAAGTAAACAATACAAAGTCCCTGTATTCGAGGAGCCTGCATTCACAGAAGATAGCATCCACATTCCCCACTGAGGAAAACACTCAACAAAACACTCTAACTAAATAACCATACTAACAATTAAAAGTCCTCAAGCCAGGGAAAGATCAAGAGGGAAGAATACAGATGTGAACAATGAATCATTAAATATATAATTATATATAAATCAATATGACAATATGAAACTTGCATTTAAGTACTAAGCAAGGATTCTAGAAGTAGAAGAGACATGCTATGAAGGAAAACCTAATAATGGTCAAGACTAAGCATATGGTATGAGCAATAGCTAGGATTTACAGGGGAGGTGAGAGGAAAAAATCAAATGCTCTAGAAATCTTAACTGAATGGGGGACATGGAGTGTGTAAACAGAGAGAGAGAGAGAGAGAGGATCACAGTGGAAGAATAAAGTTATAGCTATTTGAGAAATACATACATACACATTATTTACTAGAAATATCAGAAGTGGGAAGGTAAGCACTAGTGAATGGAAAAGCAGAGTAAAAATTCCAAATAAAACAATAAAAAATAAAACTTCACCAAAACAGCAAAAAGGAAAAGGGTGAAACAAAGTGAAATAGCAAAGTAGAAGGAAAAATTTCAAATATATCTGTTGTTATACTAAGTGTGAATGGGTTAAATTCTCTCATTAAAATACTAAGATTACCAGGCTGTGTTAAAATACAAAACCCAGGTATATATTGTTCATGAGA